GAAAACGGACCACACGACGGCCACCAAGGAGACAAGGCACAACTGGCGGGTTGGTGAGGTGTCGGGGTGCCCAACGGCGGCGTGGGGGAGGCCTGAGTAGTTCGAAAACGAACTACTCAGATCTCCCCCCAAAATTTTTACCGGGCCTCCGCGCGGCCCCAAAAAAATATGTCGCGCCCATGGAGGCAATTTCCCCCGGTACCCCTCCAGGCCGCCTTTTTTTTTTTCCCCACGACCCCTGTTTTGGCCGATGCGCCGCATGCCGTGCTCGCGTCAGCTGCGCTCTGCGCCGCACGTGCTGCGACGCCGCGCACAGCATGCGCCGCAAGTATGATTTTTGCTCAAGCGTGACTTTTCTCATATTCCAAGTTTCTCACTTTCTGATGAAGCAAACATTCTGTCTCGCAAGGGTGAATTTTATATCTCTTCATTTTTTTATTTTTTGTTTTTCAAATTTTCAAACTATTTTCATATGTGTGTAACCCTGTGTATGTAATATTTATGTGTGTGTGTGTGTTGTCATATTCGCTCTACACTAAAAAAAAGCATGCGTGTGTGTGTGTGTGTGTGTGTGTGTGTGTGTCTGTTGTCTGTGCATGTGTGTGTGTGTGTGAGTGTACGTGTGTGCGACAGACCTGTTTGTTGCATTTGCAGATGCTATACAGGTTGCGTAGGTTGTTGTAACACCAGATGCATCCTGTGTGGGCAGTAGCTGCAGCAGCTGCCACATCTCGAAAACAATAAAATAAAATAATAATATTAATAATAATAAAAATTAGCACGTCAATCCTGTGACGTCCAGGGGGTTCGGGACAGTTGGGGGCGGTTAAGGACAACTATGGGCGGTTAGGGGCGGTTTAAAAAAACAAAAGAAAGAAAACGTTAGGGACAGTTAGGGACAATTAGGGGCGGTTAAGGAGAATAAGGGGCAGTTAGAGACAGTTAGGGGTGGTTATGGGCAGTTAGGGGAAAATGGGTGACGAGCAGGGGTGGTTACGGGTGAGTCCATACAATTATGGATAGGTAGGGCATGGGTGGTTAACAAACGGTTTGGGTTCAGGTGGCCATGGGTGGTTTTGAAAAAAATTGTTCATGGGTAGGTATGGCCAATTACATGCTAAAGAGGTTCAGGTAGGGTAGGTCTGGGTATACTTTTTTTTTTTTAGTAGGTGGAGATGGGTAAAGTCCGGCAGGCCAGGTATAGAGTGGTTGGCTTTCAAAGAGGGTGTGGTTAGGTTAGGTACAAATATTCCTAAAAATACCAGTTGCGAACTCCGGCGCTGGGCGCCATACAGTAGGAGCGACATTGGATACTGTGTTGGTGTGGCCAGAAGGCGTCGACATTGGCATACGAATTCATTGTATTGCTCTTATTTGGATGGTATCTTGGTGCATTGTGCTCTCTGCTTGGTACATGACTATCTGAACTACCTCGTGATTTTGCAACTTGGATTTCTGTCTATCGCTCTTGCTCGTATTCCTTTTACAAAAAAAAAAAAAAAAAAAAAGGTTCATAACGCTGCCTCTTTGACAGTGGCTGTCCACTGGTTTAGCCAAAGCACTCGGCAGTGTGTCCCAGTTGGTTACTATAGATGGCAGTACAGGTGATATGCATTTTGGTTCATTTTGTCTCATTTAGTGTTTGGGTTTTTGGCCTCTTGTGCATTTTGAGTGCTCTTTTCATAGGATATTTAGTCGCAGACTCGCAGTACTTTTGTTGACTTGGTCATAGGGTCTTTTTCCTTGCACAAAACAAAACAAAACAAAAAAAGAAGGTTCATAATGCTGCCTCTTTGGCAATGGCTGTCCACTGGTTTAGGCAAAGCACTCGGCAGTGCGTCCCAGTTGGTTACTATAGATGGTAGTACAGGTGATATTCATTTTGGTTCTTTATGAGTCTCATTTAGTGTTTGGGTTTTTGGCCTCTTGTGCATTTTGAGTGCTCTTTTCATAGGATATTTAGTCGCAGTACTTCTTTTGACTTGGCCATAGGGTCTTTTATTGCTAACCTCACTACTGCAGAGGGGCTCTGCCTAAGGTTTGAGGGCTGGAGGCCTTGCGGCTTGCACCCCCTGAATCTGCTTCTTCAAGTTGTTAATACAGCTTCATGTACTGCCTTGGGGACTGGGCGCGTAATAAAAAGGATGTTTTATTCAACTCCTTGAACTCAGTCCATTTGACTTCGACGTTCGAACACTTGTCCGCCTATCAACAGCTAGATGGGTATCCCATCCAGCCACATGGGCTGGGTGCGAAATGGTATTTGGGCAGGCACACTTTGCAATCGTTGTTTTTACTCCCTGCCTTGGGGACTGGGCAGGCGCACTTTGGTATCGAACACTTGTCCGCCTATCAATAGCTAGATGAGATTATCATTGTTTGTCGTAATGATTTCCTTGCTAGGAACTAGATCCTGTGACGTGACATGGAGCAGACTAGCACCTTGCTATGTACTTCGAATCTCACATTGATGCCAAACCTACTCTTTCCTCGCCCAAACAAATCAAACCGGTCTGTGCAAGACCAGTACATAGGAAGCAGCATGGCCTCCTTGTATACTGCCCAGAGCCTGGGAGCACAGGGCTTGTACTGCTGTGCTTTAATAGGAGAGTGCTGGCAGTGTTTTTGCTGCCGGATGGAATCATTCATAATTTGCTACTTTCTCCCACCAAACGTAGACGTAGACGAGTGGAGTCGACGACACATTATCAACTCTCAGTCTCTCAGTCTTAAGCCACCAGTACCTTTCCCAGCTATTTTTTCAGAGGCGTGCCGGGTAACGAGCTGGCCTGAAACGGAAGGGCAGCCGCCGATACATCGAATCGGCGGCCAGTCTTGATTTTCGGGCCGGTGCGCAGTACCCGCGGCCAACATATGGGAAAGGTACTGGTGGTTTAAATTGCACAGCGGGTCTCAAATAAGACGGTCCCTGCCGGGCCCAAAACATGCCGGTGGCGTTCCGTTCACTCTGGCTTTGGTTTCGTAGATTCCACACAAGGGGACCTCAAATCCGTGCAGTGAAGCGGTCTTGAGGTTCCGCGTTCTTCTGTTTTCGGGCGGTCCCGCGCTGGTGTTTTTCCAGCAGGCGCGAGTGCCTTTCCTGTGACTTTGCCCGTTAGTCATGGCACCCTGAGGGCAGCTCTCTGTTGCCGCGCTCTGCGAACAAGGGGATCACGGACAAAAGAAGCCATTTGACAATAAGCAAGCAGAGGCCTTGCTGAGTGTGAGTGACATCTCTGAGGTATGGGAAGTGTTAGCGGCGGCACGGTAGAGCGTTAGCTCCAGCGGCCCCAACGGCACGGGCTGCCTCGCAGTGCCTATCCAGAGATGAACACACGTGGTAACTCCTTCGTTTTTGGCAGTTCCGATGGAATTACCTCAACCCCATAGACGGAGGTGACTCAGCGTTTCTACTGAGTTACTCGACTAAGGAGTTTGTCCCTGTATCAGGGACCGGGACCGTGTCCAGTGAGAGCGGATGGAGTATCTAAGCAATGGTACGGTCGGCAGACGCTTCAACGCCACTGGGTGTCCTGTTCTTCTTCAGCCATCTCCGCTGCAGGCATAACCCCAGCCCAGAATCAACAGAGTTCCTATGTATGTATTGAAGCCTCAAAGTTCATTTGTTTTAACTTTGCTAATTTTCTTTGTCTTTCCTTGGAATTTAGGAACGCTCTCTCTCCTACGATGGAGTCAGAACCTCCTCCTCCCGCTTCTGACACTCCTCCAGGTGCTCCTATTAACCCTCTCACTGCCAAATGCAAGCAAAGTATCTGTGATCTCTTGAGTGCATGCTTTAACAATGACGTGATGCCAAATAAAGTTAGCCCCACGACTCGTAGAGACCGGAGAAGATTTTGAGAAAGTGATGGTCGATGAGGATGTCTATCGCATTCAAGCAGAATCATGGTTGAACGACCACGCTGTGTCCATATTTTTTCGATGACGAGGCTGATACATCACCGGTTGACATCAAGAGTCGTCTCGTATGAATGTATGAGAACGGCTGTGTGGCCTCCGGAGTGACGGACGCGCCTCCTCGCGAGGCCTGTTCATAACGAGGGACGCACCTCCTCGCGAGGCCTGTTCATAACGAGGGACATAGCCTCGCTACGTACATAGCCTCGCCTAACCTATCGCAGACTGTATGCTGCGTAAGGGAGAGGAGAAAGATTTGACCACAATGGTCAACTCTGGAGAGGAGAAAGATTTGAGCTCGATGGTCACCTTTGGAGAGGAGAAAGATTTGACCTCGATGGTCAACTCTAGAGAGGAGAAAGATTTGACCTCGATGGTCAACTCTGGAGAGGAGAAAGATTTGACCTCGATGGTYCATTCTGGAGAGGAGAAAGATTTGACCTCGATGGTCACCTCTGGAGAGGAGAAAGATTTGACCTCGACTCTGGAGAGGAGAAAGATTGGACCTCGATGGTCAACTCTGGAGAGGAGAAAGATTTGACCTCGATGGTCACCTCTGGAGAGGAGAAAGATTTGACCTCGACTCTGGAGAGGAGAAAGATTGGACCTCGATGGTCAACTCTGGAGAGGAGAAAGATTTGACCATGATGGTCAAATCTGGAGAGGAGAAGATTTGACCACGACGGTTAAATCCGCACACTCAACAGCAGCTTCACGACTTGACAAAAGCTATGCGCGTGAATTTTTTTGGGTTAGATGTATGGAAGTTCCAGTCCTTTGAGGGGCCCTCTTGGACCATTGTGCAACTAGAAATAAGTCCCACCCTACCTTGAAATAACTCCCGCCCCCCATACATTTCTTTCCCTAACGTGAAATAACTCCCTAACCCAAGAAATTTAGCATCTTTGAGGGCCCAATCAAGATACACTGGATCTTTGAGGGCCAAAACACAAATTTTCGGAAAACCAAAACATGAAGCCGAACTGAAGCTTAAAAAGAAAAAGGAAAAAAACAGACTTTATTCAGAAGCAGCCTTCTTCACCATAGTTAGGGGAATTCAATGACAGCAACAAAAAAATTACCTGGATGTTTCCCACCAGTAGGGCAAATGTTAGCAGCCCAGCGATGATGAGTCCACAGCAGAACAAACTCTCCTCAATGTCAACACTTGGTGCAAGTATGCTCGCCAAGTTCCTGGCCATGGGGGGGCAGGAGTTATTTCAAGTTAGGGAAGAAAGGAGGCACTTTTTTTTTTCATTGTCTTTTTTTTTTTTTTAATAAAAAGGGTGATGCCTTTAGATATCATCATCAAGTGGTAGTGTGAGGTGCAGTTGAGAGAAGAATGTAGCTTAAACCACCAGAGTACCCCGCCCAGCCAAAAAATTCCGACGCAGCCGTTAACGCGCCGCATCGGACGGGGGTCGGGGAGTGGCCGGCCGGTAGGATAGTGAAATAAGAAAAAAAGGAAAAAAGCAATCACTTTCAGAAATGTAAAATCGAATGAAAAGCAAAAAAACGGGCACGGCAGGGCGGGGGCTGAAAGAAAGAGAAAAAAAACACAGACACACGCGGAGAGAGAGAGAGAGAGAGAGAGAGAGAGAGAGAGAGAGAGAGAGAGAGAGAGAGAGAGAGAGAGAGAGAGAGAGAGCGCCGGGGAGTGTGGCGCGGGACTGAGACAGATAGAGGCAGAGAGCTCTCTCTCTCTCTCTCTCTCTCTTTATCTGAGC